AAATCATATTGAAGAATAATTAGTTATGAGGAGTTTCGTTTTATTATATTTGTGTATTTATCCATGATATATACATTACATCATCACTTTTTTTTCCTGAGCATAATGAAGAATCATGACTAATTCTAAGTTGATGAATCTGTTGTAAAATTTTTTTCGTTAGATTTCTTATATAATATGTATTATTTATAAATTTACTAGTTTTGGAAAATTATAAAAATAGAAACAATAATTAAAAAATAACTTATATAATTAAAGTAATAATTTTAATGTTAAATTTCTTTAAATAGTGAATAAATATATCAATAAATTTTAATATTACCTTATATATAATAAAAAATATGAGTAGAACAATTATCTTCAACAAAATACAAACAGAAAAAACCATTTTAGTCAGCGATGTACGTTTAACAACATAATTAGTACCAATATCTATTAATAAAGTCTAAGTTTTTTCGTCTATCCATTTTTTAATTAATGTAGGCATATTATCTTTATTATTTTGACATCTGTTTATATCATTATTGTAATAATCATACATAAAACATTTAGCATAAAGCTTTTCTGGATTCATAGTTATTTGTGATGTGGTGTTTAATGATTCGGGAATTATTGAAATACAGTAACCCATAAGTTTAACAATGTCCATTCCAGATAGAAAAGAATTATCAGTTAACACTTTGGATATAATTTGTTCGCACTTTTCCTATAAAAAAATAAAAACAACAAAAATTAAATTACACAAAAATAAAAAAATGTTGAATGATATAATTAAATATATATTATAATTTTTTTTAATAATTAGTTTCATTAATAATATATAAATCAGTGTTATAACCATTGTCATATTATTTTAGTGCAGTCATTAGGGTATAAGATATTGGTTTAATGTGTATTACATAAAATTTAGTGATTAATTAAATTATAATTTTTACGATCGATTTTAAAGATTTCCATAACCTTCATTACCTTACATGTATTTCATTTTTATTTCTGTTACTAATATGATATTATAAAAACTAAAAAAATAATATATATGTACGTTACATGATATATATTTCTGTTATTTACAGATTATTTATGAATGATTTACTATTTTATAATATTACATGAAATATATTAACTCAGTCCATGGGTTGATATTTATATGCATTATCATTTATGTGATATTAATACAAGTTTTTTATTTTTTTAATAAATTATATTTAAAAGGACTTTCATACTTTATGATATTTTATATATATTTTTTACATATATAATATTTTATTTGTTTTTATTTATTAAGGTGCGGTTTAATAATCATATATTTACATAATTACCCTTTTGTATAGCATGTTATTCGCATGAATTATTAATATATTTTAAATTTTACCAATACTAGAATATTAATAAATATACAATGCTATAATTTTTTAGTTATAAACTAATATTTATCTCTTTATATTACAATTATAATGAATGCAATAATTTTGAAATATTTTTTTGTAGCACATAATAAAGAGTTTAAATATTCAGTAAATAATAATTTATACATGTTGTAGAAAATGGCTAATTTTACATAATATTTAATTTTAATAACACTTATATAATTGATGAATCATTTGATATTAATTTTTTACATTATATTCTCTATAATATTTTTTATAAAACAATAATTATTAAATTATTTTTTCAACATTTTTATATATTTACAATAATTTTTAAGGCAATGTAATGGGATTTTATGTATCTCCATGATATATCTTTTTAGGATGTAGATAAATTTAAAATATTTTTTATTTATTGTGTATTATAGAAGCAATAATATATATGCACTGTTATATTATCACATCATATTCTTACTTGCAAGCATTATTATCAATATTATTATATGTAATATTTACAATGGAAATATATTTATATAAAAGTAATAACAATATAATATCAAAAGTATTTTAATTTATTAAGGAAATATACATTATATATAGAAGGATTAATGTTATTTTATCATTATATTTAAAAAAAATGAAAAAATTAATTGATAAATTAATTTATAAAATATATGTATAATATTTTGTAATATTTAAATTTTTTTTATATTATATATAAAATATTTACTAATGTTAATAAGACGAATAAAGATATAAAATATGTGGTTCCGTGCAAATGTTTACAGATTAGCTATTTTATTTGTGTTATAGGATTTTTCTATGTTTTATTTTGTATTTATAGTGTTCACAGTTTATGGGGGGTAGGTATTTGGTTTCTGGGAATTTTTAAAGGAGAACATAGTATTATTATGGATAGGAATATAAGAGATGATTATACGATTTTAGAAGATTTATATTCGCCGAAAAGTTTTAATTTAACATACAATAATATATAATTGTTTGGCTTAGGATTCAAGGCGTATTATTTTTGTCATATATATGTGCATCGTGATATGCATTGCAAAAGTATTCTTCTAACAAAATACAAGGAATTATTTTTATATGAATTATAAAACAATATATTTGAAATGAAAAAATTTATTATATAAATAAATGTTGTTTTTAAAATTACAATATTTTTATCCTTTCCATAAGAATAATCATGTAGTAAAAATATATATATAAAAATTCCAAAATACTTAATAATTGAAGGTTATATTTATGTTTTAATACAAGGAATTATTATTATGTCTTACAATTTTTTTTTAATAATTCAGAATATTATTGCTTTGGGGTAAAAATAATATATTTTTATTACATATATTATTTTGTATTAATGAGAAGAGCTAGCAAAATATGTTATATTATAAAAATATAAGAATATGTATTATATTCACTAATTTATTATATTAATATATAATATATAATTGTGGTATTACTTTAATATTATTGAAAAATGATGTGTTTAATTTCTTGTTGCATATATGGTGCATATAATGATAAATACTTCGTTATTTATGTCTTTTTATAAATTACTATAAAGTTATCAATTTTTTATATATTTCTTTCTCCTATATATATATTTATTATTGCTATTGTTTTTATTTTAAAAATTTTGTTGATCATTTATTATAAGCAAGGAAACATACAAAGTATATAAAGGTTTTTTTTACTTGTAATAATATTTTTATTTAAAATAAGCATTGGTATAGCAGTTATTTATTTTATAAATAATGTAAAATATTATATTATTTATGTAATATTAATTTAATTAAAATATTTAAAGTTATACTTAATGAATTGCACACTAATATATAAATAATAGTTGTGCAACAATCCATCTTTTACATTTTCTTTTTTGCATTCAATTATACCTTATTAACTTATTTATAATTGTTGAAGACATATAATTGATATGAATTTTTTTTTTTTCTGTAGTATAAATTCTAGTGTTTATCGTATACATATTTATGTATATATATATGAAATACTTGGTTAACATATACTTAATTTCTTATATTTATAATTTAAATAAATATCCTAATAATAATTCGTGTTATGTATTTAATAAAATACATCTGATTTATTATTTGTAAAACAAGAAAAATAATTGAGTTCTATTATCTCTAGCCTTATAGCATATGTGAAAACAATATAATATTGTTTTTATATATCTATTATTTTTTTTTCTATTCATTGTTATTTACAATTTTATATGTTTTTGCCTTGTTATTAATTATATATAATTAAAACAATACAAATGGAATAATAATTCCTATACTGAACGTATATATCTATCGCGAATGCTTATAAAAGTGGGACAATTAAAGCTTTATTTTAAAATTTATTCAGTACTTAAGAGTTCAATTAATTTTAAATTGGAAAAAATAACACATGATATTTAAAATAAGTATGTTCATTCCTTGTAAAAAATATGTAAGCATTGTTGCTTCTCGTATTACAAATGTTTTGAGCACAATAAAAAACTATAATTAAATAAAATGTATGAAAAAAAAATCATGATAGCTTTAATACATGTTAAATAAGGCAAAAATATTGAGTTATAGATACATACAAAATGTATTATGTAATATAATCGTCATAATTCCAATGTATATCTGTGTTCTCATAAATTTGACAATAGGAAAACGTTTAGTATTATGTATCTGTGAATATTTATTAGAGGATTAGGTAATTCTAAGTGTTATAAAAATATTAAAATAATATTAATTAATATATTGAACTAAAAATTATGAATTATGTGTATTATCTATTTTATATAATGAAATATAATAATATATTTATGAGAATTAAATGATATTAGAAATATATATTTAAAAATATATTGGTATTATATTGAATTTTTAATAACATTTTTTGTATGCTTTGAATTGTATTAAAACTTTATTTTAATCATATTCTGAATCATTTAAATTAATATAGGAATCTTTTAACCCTATTAGAATTTATATTACTCAAATAAATTGATTTATAAAACACTGTATCATTATTATAAGGATTTGTAATCCATGTCATTTTACGGTTACATATATGTAGGAGAATATTTCTAGTATATAAACATTAAAATTCATCGATATTAACTATTTATTCTTTTTGTATTAGATATTGGGTAATATTGTACATATTGTTGAAAGCAATTAATTCGATTATTTGTAAAGTAAATATTTCAGAGTATTTAATTCATCAAATATAACTAATATATATTGAGATTCACTAAGATAATTTACGTAGATTATTAATGTATTAAATATAATTATAAATATTTTAAAACATGTTGTTATGTTAACTATTTGTTATGATAGTATAAATTTTAGATATTAATGATTTTGTACGTATTAACAATAATTATATAGATTATATTTAATTATATAAAAATTTACGTTTAATGTTCCTTAATGTAAAAAATATTAATGCATTTTTTCCACTTTTTATGATTATTTTAACTTATATATGTTCTTATAATTATTTGTTAAATTATATAAGTAAAATAACTTTTAATTATATTTTATTATTTAAAACAATTTAAATTGTATTTATTTTACTTTTTTTTTTAATAATTTATTATAACTTTCATATTGATCTATATCCTACATCATAATGTTTGTCATTTAATTCATTGTTCATATTTTGATATGAATCTATCAAGTTCTTATGTTTTTTATTTTTTATTTTCATTAGCTTCCTTAACCTCCTTCCTCTTGGTTGTAGATATGATCCAAAAGGTGTGTACTGTAAATAATGTGCCATTATAATATTTTTACGAGTATACAATATATTTGATATAAATATTTCTTAATAATATGTAATATTAATTGTAATTAATATATATTAATAAGTATAATTAATATATAACCTTATACAATATAAACATAATTATTAATATGGAAAAAAATAAAAGGCTTATTCCTGTACTTATTTGAGAACCGATATCTGTACCTTTTATTCGATCCATTTTTGCAACATTATGTATACCTTTTGTTGCACCCATTTGTGCAACGTTAACTATTCCTTTTATTGCATTTATTTCTGCAAAGGTATATTCTCCTTTATTTTTATCTCGAACGAGGTATTGTAAAAATGACCGGACACTCGAATCCGTAGGATTTAATTCATTTAGATATGCTAAACAAGTATGTTTAAAATAATTAAGTACATCTTTGAAACTGTCATTGTAATTATATTGACGACTTTCTAAATATTTCATCCCATTTCTAAAATTCACATATTTATAATAGCCCGGATTTGGATATCTTATGAATTCGTATAAATTATCATATGTTTCATCTATCTTTTTAAATATTTGGTATATATTTTCATTCAGATCTTTTGGATAATCACTACACTGTGAAAATAATGAAGAAATCTCCATAATGGATTGCTGTTCGCTTAGTGTTTTCATGATTGCATAACAGCTTTTTGTGTCTACACAATTGCAAGGAAAGTTATTAAGTAGACCTTTAAGCTTGTAAAAGAAATATTTACAACATGGATTTATCTTATATTCTTTTGCTACTCTTTTTATATGATTTAAATAAAAAGTAACATGTTGGCATCTTTGGATAAATTCAGAAGATCTATTATTATTTCTATTATTTAAGTTAAATTTATTACACAGATTTGTTAACTTGCCACCCACATCGCCTGTAATTTTAGGAAATTTCCATTCAAAACCTATTCTACATTGGGGATATATATCTCTAAAATCAAACTAAAAATAAAAGTATTAATGAATTGAAAAATATAAAACTATACATTTAAATAGAAAAAATCCGAGTTTTACAAAAAAAAGGATACGCTAAAATTAAATAATATAAATTATGATTATAACGAC